CCCGGCTGCGGGGAGAAGGAGAGAGACGTGGGTGGGTGAGGAGAGCCGCTCCCCCTAGCCCCGCATTCCCCCTCCGCCTCCCCTCCCTCCCCCGCCTCCCTCCCCCCGTCCTCACCAGGAGCGGGATCCCTGCCCGAACTTCCTGGGGTGGCTCCAGTAGAGCTGCTGGTGGCCCATCGTGGCGGAGGCGGCGGCGCGGTCGGAGGAGGCGAGGAAAGGCAAGAGGGGTCCGAGGGCGCAGGCGCGGGGGAAGACTAGGGGCCGGCTCCCGGCATGCCGAGCGGCGGTGGGTGGGACAGGGGGCGGCTCCTCCCCTCCTCTCCCCCTCCCCTCGGGGCGTGACGTCACCGCCCCGCCCCCTTCGGCGTCAGGCTAAGGCCCCGGCCGCTGCCTCCCTCTCCTAGCCGGGCGCGGTGGCGCGCGCCTGTAATCCCGGCTGCCGGGGAGGCTGAGGCCGGCGGATCGCGTGAGCTCAGGAGTTCTGGGCCGCAGCGGGCTATGCCGATCGGGTGTCCGCACTAAGTTCGGCATCAATATGGCGAGCCGCGGGGAGCCGCGGCCCGCCAGGTTGCCCAAGGAGGGGTGAACCGGCCCAGGTCGGAGACGGAGCAGGTCAAAACTCCCGTGCCGATCAGTAGTGGGACCGCGCCTGTGAATAGCCGCTGCCGCGTAGCCTGGGCAAGACAGCGAGACACGGACTCTCCTTTTCCTCCCTCGTGGAATCCTCGGTCCGCTTCAGCCCATTCGCAACACGGCACGCCTTTGCTTTTGCACCCCCCGACTCTTAAGACGCCACCCCCCAAGGACCACCTCCCGCCGGACACGCAGATGGTAGCCTGGGCAAGACAGCGAGACACGGACTCTCCTTTTCCTTCTGCCCCCATTCAGACATCCATCACGAGTGCATTCCTTCATCGCCCCGCACTCTGCGTGTGCCATTCACATGCACGCCCTGCTTTTGCTCTGCAGCCGCACAGTCGCCTCCCAAGGACCACATCCCGCCGGCCACAGACGCACATATTCATACATCACTTGATAGGTCAGATGCACCTCTCACTTGAGACAAATCTGGCCCCAAGCGCCGGGGGGGGGGGCGGGGGATGCCGCGGGGCACGTCCAGCCAGCCAGCCCGGACGGGGGGGCGAAAACCGCGACCCTAAAAGGAGCTCCACTCGGAGTGGGGGGGGGTGTGCGCCCTTTTTGGAACAGTTAAAAGAGACGACGGGCCCCTTCCCCGGCTGACCCTAAAACAAACCTCATTTCTCAAGACCTCCCCCCTCCCCTTTAAGCTGTGCCCGTCGCTGCCGAGTAGGGAGATTCCGACGAAGCCAAGAGGGCCTTTTCAGCCCCCCCCCCCCCCCCCTTTAAAAAAACCCCCAGCGCGGGGGGGAC